TAAGCTAAAGAATCACTCGAATGGGGGATATCGCAAGCAACAGCAATGAACAAAGAAGCGGCCGCTCTAAACGCAGAAAGAGCGAAATTACAGCACCAGCATTACTTGGATACTACTCGCGGACCTCCTCCAGCTCAATCGCAAGGCCAGAGTCAATCGCAAGGCCAGAATCCGACCATGTTTGCACCTCCACAAACACCGCAGGCTCTTTTGCACGCACCAGCTGAAGCTGCACTGCTGCTAGCAGCTGCAGCACATGCCCAGCATTACATGGATACTACTCGCGGACCTCCTCCAGCTCAATCGCAAGGCCAGAATCAATCGCAAGGCCAGAATCCGACCATGTTTGCACCTCCACAAACACCTCAGGCTCTTCAGGCTCTTTTTGCACTGGCAGCACCAGCACCAGCTCCAGCTGCACTGATGCTATCACCTGCAGCACATGCAACCGCAGCAAATGAAACCGCAGCAAATGCAGCCGCAGCAACCGCAGCAAATGCAGCCGCAGCACCCGCAGCAAACAGCGTAGCAGCACAGATAGCAACCCTAGGAACTCTCCTGTTGAATGGGGACATCACTCAAGCTGACTTCGCGCAACTCAAGGCGTCACTATTGCCGCCCCCGTGAATCATCACGCTCGGGTGCTTTCTCCCATGATGACTGCCTGTTCAACAGGAACACATGGGAGTTTTTAGCGATAACCCGGATCTTATTATACTAGAGTATCGGAATCTACGCTAGTTGCATACTACCCCGAGAGTCGTCTATAGCGAGCAGGTCCCTGTATGCCGCTCGTGCGAGCGAACCTGCCATCGCGAGTCCAAAATCAGCACTCTCGCGAGCCACTACACCGCAGCACGTCTCTCTATGCGGAAAGCAGCCACAACTATGAGAAGCCGTGCAAATGCGCTTCTCATAAGGCAGGTCATTTACATGCCAGCTTTTCAAGTTGTTGTATATGACTATCTCCTTCCGATAAGGCGTCCCAAAAAGCATGCATTTGCAGAGGGCAGTTTTCTTAAGCCCAAAAATAGAATGAAACACATCCTTGCAAATGGGCTGCTTTGGGCCATAGCCCGCAGGTATTTCCATGATCACCTTGCAAAGCGGGTTCGCCTGCCATGCGGCGATCATCAGCAAACTTATCCACATCAATGTCTCGTTGCCAAACTCAATCTTTCGCGCTTGCTCCTCCGTAAGAGGAGCACCA